AAGTTTTACCTCTTCCCAACAGGGAAAATCAACAACAATAATAAATGCAAGATTATATGGTGTCATGGATTTGCAAAAGTGGTTATAATGGAAGTCAATGGGGCAAAAAAGCCACCAACAATAAATTAAGGAGAAAGAAAAAAAATGTAATTAATCAAAAACAATGTATCTAAGGCATTGTTTCACATGTCCAAGATTTTGATAAAAGGTTTAAAAAAGTCCAGTTCACTATTACTTTTATATTGAAAATACGTCAATTTGTGTGTGTGTTTTCACCAAATCAGTGAAGTCATTTAGAAGTTTGGCAATTAAATAGTTAAAATCCTGTACTTTTCTAAACAGTTTAGTGGTTTTGATCAGGACTGAGGATGATTAACAAACTTATGCAAAAAAAAAAAAAATAATAAAATAAATTAATTAATTAATTATTTAAAAATCAATATTTATCTGATGCATTTTTACAGCAGTTTAATTTTGTGGATGTTTTCATCCCGAACAAAACAAAAGGTTAGTAAATTTGAACAGAGTGTATTGTTCAGTTTTTTTTTTTTATTATTCAAAGCATTTTCTCAAAAATATGTGTCAAAATAAGATTTGTCATTAAAAATCATTCTGCTAGCTGAAACACAGTAATTGTACAAATTAAGACACAAAATTACCCCAGACTGGATGACAACATCCCCAATAGTAAAGTAAATAAGGGTTAAGTGGAATGAACGTAAAACAATTAAGTTGTCCCAAAAAAGGTTATTACTTATTTTAAATAAGAAGCTTAAACAAGCAACAAACAATTTTTTATTATTATTTTTCTTTCTTTTTGCTTTTGGATTTAATAAAAATTTGCTAAGAAACAAAAAATCCAAATAACAGAAATTAAAATGTTTAGTAATACTTTAATTTCTTCAGCTTTTGGCATTTAAAGTAAAAACCTGTTGGTGTGAAGACATCTATTAAAATGCTTGTGTATGGCCTAATGTCAACACATTGGCAATAAAGACAATGACTAAATGTAATTACAGAAGGGACTACAAATCTAGGCACTTTAAATGCAGGTTTGTGTCATGTCGCATTGTAAAATTGACACATTTTGCCAATTTACTGATTTATATGTGTGCGTGTGTGTTCGAGTGGGCTGTCACAATACTAATGAGATCACACCGCCTTGAGACAGTGCGACATATTGAACAGACTGCACTTCTATCACTCACAACCTTGTTTCCACTGGCATCAAATTACTGAAAGCACAGCTGTCAGAATAACCCTCAAGAAATCATCCAAGAGAATGATCGAGCATCAGGATCGGAGCTCCGACATCGCTGTCGTATACAACGCTCCAGTCTTTAGCCAAAGCATTTATTGATTTTAAATAAGTGCTAATTTAAGGAATGCGCCGAGGGTTGTAAAGCATGTAGTGGCCAGTCTCATGTTGGTCAGCTGTTTGGAGTCTCATATCGGTCTTATATTCAGACAGTCTGTTTCCTGCGCTGACACGTTCTGCTTTTTTTTTTTCACGTCCTGCGGAACATAGCGGCACAACAGCCTGTGTTTTTGAGCTGTCACTGAAGAGGAGTATAAGACAAACTCTCTGTCAGTGTTCCTGATGTAGTCTGGTTCTCTATATATGACAGGACTAGATATGGGCAACCTGTTGTTGTTTTGTGTTTTTGTGTGTATTTTTCTCTCCAAAAATATGAGTGCTCTGGTATTCTTACGCCAGCAGTACATGCATACCGTCTCAGACATAGTGTTGTGCTGGAAATAGAGGTACCTGACAATTAAGGGAGTCAGAATGTGGGGAAAGAGAAACCTCAGTCACGGCTGACTTCACCTCATAAATATCCCCTTAAACGGCACCAAATGAATGTAGGCCACAGGTGTGGGAATGTGTGTGTGTTTATGCCTGAAAGTGTGAGCTTGTGTGTAATGGTGTTATTGTTGTTGTATGTGGCTGTTTGGTGACAATCTAATAGGCATAACTAGTGTACACATTATTGAGCTACATTAAAAAAGATGTATTGGATTTACTTCATTTTTAAGGTAAGTGGTTGCTAACAATTTATATGGGCTGAATTTAAACAAACTGATCAAGCTGAACATTACAAAATTAAATTTGTTTGTTTAAATTCAGCCCATATAAATTGTTTGCAACCAGTTACCTTAAAAATGTTTTAGTAAATTCAATTATAATTTGTTTCTGTATATTTACACTGCTTCTTGAAATATAAAGTGTAAAATCTAAAACTTTGTCTGCCAGCTTTTATTGTACATTTCAGTATTAGTGGGTCAAATATGAAACACCTTATTTAAGTTACTTAAGTATATTATTTAAGTTACATTACACAAAGTAATTTTAAATACGTAGAAAGCTTATCAAATGCAGCTGACAGGGGTATACTTTATTGTTGGCCAAACCCCCGATCCCCCCATCCCCAATCCCCCAATTATTATAATTTTTTTATTAATTTATATGTCACGGAGAGGAGGTTTTTTCGACACATTTCTAAACATAATAGTTTTGATAACTCATTTCTAATAACTCATTTATTTTATCTTGCCATGGTACATAATATTTTTCAAGACACTTGTATACAGCTTAAAGTAACATTTAACTAGGTTAATTATGTAAGCAGGTTAGGGTAATTAGACAAGTTATTGTATAACGGTGGTTTGTTCTGTAGAGTATAGAAAAAAATAGCTTAAAGGGGCTAATAATTTTTACCTTAAAGTATTTGTTTTTTTTAATTGAAAACTGCTTTTATTTTAGCCAAAATAAAACAAATACAACTTTCTCCAGAAGAAAAAATATTATCAGACATACTGTGAAACTGTCGATGCTCTGTTAAAAATCATTTGGGAAATATTGAAAAAAGAAAAAAAAAATCAAAGGGGGTTTAATAATTCTAATTTCAACTGTATGTAAATGTGAAGCACAAAAAACTTGCATTGAAACCTTCTTTAAAGAAAAAAAAAAAAAAAAAAACAAGTGATTTGAGGGATAGTGAAAGAGGGTAAAGATTTAAAAATGACATTTAATTAGTATTAGCTAGGCCTGTCATGATATCTATTTTTTGTTGAATGATATATTGTACCAAAATATATTGCAATAAATTATATTATTGCGATTTTAGGACCATTTAATCCCAGAATGACATTATAATCTTGTCACAATGTAAGTAAGCTCTTCCAAAAAACACATAATATTTTATTGTTTAGAATATTTAATTTAATTATAGTCATTATAACATGTTATAAAAACAGTGGAAGCAGATTGTAAAAAGGTATATCCTAAACAAATAAATAATAATAAATGTTAACAAAAAAGTGCAATGTAAAATGTAACAGAGGCTGCAATATCTGCTACCAGATCTATTTTCAGTTGTCAGACACCTGAAATGATACTATAGTAATTTATAATTAATACTATAGTGTTTATAATTTTAACACTTGTTAATAGACTAAATGTCCATGTATTGTGTGATAAGTCGATATATTGAATATTGTGAGAGGCCTAGTATTAGTTAGAGTCAGCTAATTAGTAATTCAACATACACAGTAAAAGATGTTGCCTAAAATGTTTTAGCTGAATCAAATTCATTTTCTTGTTATATTAACTTATGTAAAAAACTGACATATAATTTTGATATTGATGCTTGAAAAACCCCTTTGCACCTTTGACAGATGTACTGAATTTAATAATAGATAATAAAATAGATTATTAAATAAATTAAATAACTGTTTAATTTAATGCTTATACATTTTAACAATTTAATTGCCCACTCTACCAAATAATTGACCATATTTTGAGTGTTTTACATAATAATTGTTAAAGTCGTTTAAAGAATAACTGTTTTAAATAATGGCTTACACACAGCATTGTTGGTTTACAAAAATTAAAACAAACATAATCCTGTTGCACTACTACTTATGATTTTGGTTTTATTGTAAAAAGAAAAAAGAAAAGAAAAGTGAAAGCATGTTAAATGAGAATCTGAAATATTTTATGGGATACTTCAGAAATTAAAGAATACTTTCCTTTTTTATTTTAAATATTTTTAAAAATAAATTGGTCTTACACTTTATTTTTCAGATTTCCATAGTAAATGTAATAATTTGTGCACTTTTTAACCGACATATCAACCATTTAGTAGAGGTTGATATTTTTGAAATAACGGGATGTTGAAACAAAAATGCATTGAGTTTGTTGTAGCGACAAAGTGGCAATGTCTGTATAAAAATAATATTTTTTAAGTTTTTAATTAATTAATTATTAATAAAATTTCTTCAATTATATCAACACCAACCAGCCCAAAGCCTTTTTCAAAATCAGCCGGAACAAGCCTTAATATTGAAAAGTCAATTCTTAACCTCAAATATAATTGTAATATGTCACATAAGGCAGTTAAGTGAGGTTTTAAAATTTGTTTCATTATTATTATTATTATTATTGTTATTATTATTATTTATTTATTTTTATTTTATTATTATTTTTACACCTCATCGAAAAAAGTCCAAAATGTAGATTGCTAGTGGCCAAAAATCTTTTGAATATTAAATAAATATCATTTTCCATGAAGACATTTTGTAAATTCTCTGTAACTCCATCAAAATATTTTTAAATATTTTTAGTAATATGCATTGCTAAAACAAAATGTCCTTAATGGTTGTATCAAAAAAAAAAAAAAAAAAAAAAAAACAGAAAATGAAAACTTAGTCTTTTCAAACATTTTCTGACATTGGTAACAGTTCAATAGATTACATCTGTCGGTGTTGACATTTATTAAATGAATGCAGAGGAAAGAAACACAGAAGTCTAAGATTGCACCAGAACATGCTGAACAGCTTAATCTATAAAAATTCCTGGAAAGATAACCTTTACTTCTGTGCCACTACTGAAGAATCAAACCTGTTTGATCTGCTTTATTCTCCTACTGTGATCAGAAAGACTTCATATATATCAAACACTCGTAGTTATGGAAGTCTTTTGTTAATTTGTCTTGCAGAGGCTCCCTCCTCGGGGATGGCAAAGAATGGATACTTCTATCAGGAGATGGGTGAGTCAATGTTTGGAGTAATTTGTTTTTTGAGCTCAAGGCTGAGAGGAAGTCAAGTCTAGCCACTTTTGTTTTTAAAATAGAATGCAAATAGGCGCAAAGCTGCTGTAAAAAGAAAATGGGCAATAATTGAAAATCAGCTATGAAGTTTTATCAATGTGAAACAAGTTCAGTTCATTAGGCACGATTGGCTTTACAAAATGTTTTGTTTTAGTTAATTCAGTAATGATTCATTTCAGTGTGCATGTCATTGAACAGTGTTAATCCTGACAACACGTTTTGATTTAGTTTTAGCCTTATTCCTCATTCACACTAGCAGCAACCTTGTAGCTGCCTGTCGCTCAAAGTGGCAAGGTCTACAGCACAGAGAATACAACCAGCCTCTGAGCGAGCTGAGAAAAGATCACGTGAGCTCTACTGGTGTTCCTATTGGCTGTCGCTCAAGAAAGTCGCTCCTCATTTGCATAAAGTTGAAGGATTCTCAACTTTGTCCCATTGCTCGACATGCCCACCTGGTCACCAATGGTCGCTGTCGCTCACTCCCCGTTGAAATGAACGGTCGTTTGTTGCTTTGCCGCTGCGAGTCACTCATAGTGTGAATGAGGCTTTAGTCTCCTATATATATTTTTAGTTCAATTGTTTTAGTTTTAATCAACTAAATTTCAGAAGATTTTAGTGGGTACTGTATAATTAAATAATAATACATAAAGTATACTGTACATCTGTCATTTTTTTATGTGATTACTGAAAAACATGTGAACGATTTTGAGGTTTGAACAATATAGATGCTGATTAAACTGCTATGATTAAATAAAACATGTTTTATATATAATTACTAGGGATGCACGATATATTGGCGGCCATATCGTTATTGGCCGATGAATTTCTAATTTTAAGATTATCGTTATCGATCCAATGTCTAAATTTGGCCAATATCTTTAAGCCGATAATAAATGATGTAATTGTACAGACCTGTGTGCTTCGCACACGCGTGGGCGGAACTCTTCCAGTGCACTATAATGGATCTCTCCTCACATTGTTTATTCCTTCAAAGTACGTCCTTTCTTCACGTGGTATTGCTGTGCATTAATAACTCAGTAAGTAACCATGTTCCTTATCATTGTAGATATGTTTAATTGATTGTCAGTGTTTATTTTGCTTTAAATCGCCTCAGTCAAAAATATTGCATGTGTAAACCTTTCCTGCTCCGTCTCTTTGTTGTGTTAGAGATAGCAGGGGAGATTCACTTATTACTCCAGGGCCGAATAATATTAGTTTCGGGGTTAACTCCCTTCTCTTTTCATTGCAGCCGGTGAATGAACAAGGACACATGTAACTTGGTCCAAATTATTTATTACTATCCGTGTGGTACAACAAAGTCCGTCAACAAAGAGAAAACATCACTGAAAATAGTTTCGTTGCAAAAAAACGCTCCTCTTTTCTGTCTCTCCTTCTCTGCTTCACACACACTGCAACCCCACCCCTTAAAGGACCCGCACATTTTACAACATGTGTAAACATAACGGTTGTTTGTAATTTAATATGATTATGTTTTATTATCAACATGTTGCTTGCCATATGTTGTTGATGTAAGATTGTATTCAGTTTGATCGGAATATTCATATTGATTATAACGAGCGCGCATGAGAGCTGTCACCGCACACACACACACACACACACACACAAACACACACACACACACACACACACACACTGCAGCACATGGGAGAGGTGAAAGGTGAATCCAGTCATAGGGGCTCTCAGCTCGCCTTCAACTCGCTCTTAACTCGTCAACTCGTCTTTTTATTATGCTCTGTGCTTGTCATACATAAAGTCATGCTCAGTGCAGGTTTTGTACCAAAATTTGACTCCGAGGGTGCCTGCAGTTGAGTGAAACTCACAGTGGTTTATCATAAATTTTCATCAATCTTTTTTTCCCGCAATTGACAACAAGATCGAACACAGAAGCGTTGTCTGATTGACAAGCAGCAGCTACAGGTGTTCAAAAGAATCTAAAATTCCAAATAGGATGAATTTATGTCGCATTTCTAAAGTAATACAATCTTTGTTTAGCTGTTCGCTTGTAGGTTGGGTCTGAACAGCCAAAACACCTCTAAAAAGACTTTTTCAGACATGACATTTCTACATGTGTACATTACTGTAACACATTTTATTCAAGAACATTTGGGCTGGTTTAAGTCTTTAGCTCTTTCATTTTCATTTTGTTTAAAATATATTTAACCTGCTTGTTTATTAAATGCCATTTTGTTATTTAACCTATTATTGTTATGCAACAGTCAAGTTGCATGCTATAAAGAAAAGAAAATAATTATTTTTTTGCATGCTTAGTTCGTAAAATCGTGAATATAGATCTATATAATCACCTTGCAATTTTGAAATTATAGCATTTTTGCTTTGAGTAAAGACTATTCAGTTCATCAGAGCAGTTCAGTCTTTTATTAAGTTTGCTGCATAAAAATATAACCTTTTGAAATATTTATAATTATCTGCCTATATTTAACGGCTATCAGCCTCCAAGTCTGACGAGTTATTGGTTATCGGTATCGGCCAAAAAATCCATATCTGTGCATTCCTAATAATTACTGAGCGTTTTTTATTTGTTCAAGCAGATGTTTGTTTGCTAAGTTAAATAGAATTAATTCGATAATATTTTACAATAAAGCTCTGTTAAGGTATTTACTAATATGACCAAACAATAAACAATACATTTAGTACAGAATTTATTAATCTTTGTTAACATTAGTTAATGAAAATGATGTTCATTGTTGAGGTGGCAAAGTGGCTCAATGGTTAGCACTGTCACCTCACAGCAAGAAGGTTGCTAGTCCCGGCTTAGCCAGTTGGCATGGGTTTCCTCTGGGTGCTCTAGTTTCCCCCACAGTCCAAAGACATGCTCTATATGTGAAGTGGATAAACTAAATTTGCCGTAGTGTATGAGTGTTTGTGTGAATGCAAGAGTGTGGGTGTTTCCCAGTACTGGGTTGAGGCAGGAAGGGCATTTGCTGCGTCAAACATATGCTGGATAAGTTGGTGGTTCATTCCGCTGTGGCGAACCCTAACAAATAAGATACAAAATTTAAGAAAAGTGAATGAATAAAGTTGATTGTTAGTTCTTGTTAACTCACAGTGCATTAGCTGATGTTAACATGCAGATTTTTAGATTAAATTAATAATTCGTTAGCAAATGTTAAATTGTGATTTAATAAATGCCATACAAGTGTTGTTCATTATTAGTTTATGTTATTAAATACATTAACTAACATCACAAAATGAAACCTTATTGTAACAGGCGACCATTAAAAAGAAATTCTATAATATTCTGTACTAAAGGGATTATTATTGTTTTTGTTTGAGAATCACTTAAGAAAATGTTTATTGGGCTTATGTCAGTTTAAAAACGAATGTGCTAACAATAGGATGTAATGCATTATTTTAAGAAAAAAAATAGGATCACGCTTCAAACTGAGATGCTATTATTTGATATAACTTCACTTAAACTTAAACAACTGAAACTTTTTTCTCCAGAACTGATGCAGAAAAGGTATGCAAAATCAAGGAGACTTTTACATCAGTAAACACTGTCTTAGTTTATCCAATGTAGCAATACCAGATGTCTTTGAACTGTGGGAGAAACCGAAGCATTAGAGGAAACCCATGCAAACATCGGGAGAACATGCAAACACGATGCAGAAATCCCTCCTAGGCAAGCCAGGACTCAAACCATTGACCTTATTGCTGTAAGGTCATAGTGCTAACCACTGAGCCACTGTGACCCACCACATTTCAAAGCCAAACAATGTGGCATTTCAATACATTGTTTTCAGTTTTTACAGGGTGTCTGCGGGGTCTTAAAAAGTATTAAAAGTTGATAAATCTATGCAGAGAAATGTAGGGACCTTAAAAAGTATTAAAGTCTTAAATGCTATTTTGCAAGGTATTAAATTTTATACCATTTTTGATTATGCAACATATTGTTGTATGTTAAAGTTTGCCTGAATTAAATCTGACAATATCAGGATGCTGTGTTGTTTTTCAAAGCAAAGAAATCTTACTAGATTTGACATCATTCTGCTTTGTTCCAAAGCAACACCATTATTTCTGCAGTTCCATAGGTGCCAACCTGCTGAATTATTATATTATACCTGTATATAAAATGTTTCAGTTTTGGATTAATGTCCTACATTATTATTTAGTAAATATACTGTAAGTAATAATTTGCCAGTGTTTCCGGTTGAAAAGTGGTTATAAGGTCTTAAAATTTATGGAAAGATTCTTAAAAAGAATCTTTAAAGGAATTCTTAAAAGGAATTGAATTTCGCTTTTCTGATTCCTGCATACTCTGTTTTATTAATTAGAATTGTCAATGAAGGTAACTGCAGACATAACTCGACATTGTTGCATAAACAATAAAGTCTTATTGGCTTCAAAACCTCTCTACTTATTTTTATTTAGAATTTTCCATCACATGAACAAAATATTGTTGATGACATATATGATGGAAAAATCTACTTTAATGAAAATGGACACACTTGTTGGAGGAGGTGATTCACTGTACAGCAGCTCCACTGACCTCAACTAAGCAAGCCAAAGGCAACAGTCCACAAAGGACTAAAGCTCCACCAATTGATGGAAAGGTCGGAACCAGGCAGCGGGAAACTCCTTCCTACAATATTTAAAGCATGCCCTCATTTCTGACTGAAAAAAAATCATTATATTTCTGGATTTCTCATCAGCATCAGAGAGACAAGTTTTCTGTCTCTGATTCTGCTGCATTGGAGTCCAATGCGGCAAAATCCGAGCCAAAAAAAACATGTCTCTCTCGTGCCTCTAAAATGAAATTATTTAGTACAAGTAAAGCTTCTGGCATGTTCAGATTTCTCAAATATTTCCTCATTATGCCTTTTTAGGAATCACAGTTTATCTCTCTCCATACAATTCAAGGGGCTCTTGTTTATAGATGCATAATTATAACAAAGTATGGGAGATAATTTCAATAAACGAGTTAATTTGTTCATGAATAGTCTCTCATCGAATCAGACGCTTATGAATATGATCAAGCACGGTGCTTTGAGCTTGAAAGAGCAAATGCGAGAAGGGAGAAAAGGGAAAGCGTCAAACGTCGGGAAGAGGAATATCCTCACGCCGCTCGCCGCAGGTCCAGGCTGGTGGAGTCAATGAGCACACGTGGATTAACAGCCCCCTCTTCTCTTCGGCTTTACATAGAGAATAATAGAGGGAAGGATTAGTGAATAAATGAATAGATGAGGAGAAAGATATGGAACCGATAGCCACTCACATGCCACATTCAGCCCGAGAGGCGAGAACAATGAGGAGCTGCCATGTGTGGATAAATCACAGCTTCAGCCACACTCTGGCTACACAGTCACATCTGTGGGGTATTAAACCCGGAGAACACTTCGTATTCAGGAGGAAAAAACGAGAGGGGAATTGATGGATTATTCAAGCCGTGTTGTTTTGGAATTGAGCAACAGTCTTATCGGGGCTGAGATATCAATTCAGACGGCAAAGAATGGATTAAATGTACAACTGAGCATATTAAAGATGTAGATTAATCGACTTTAAGGAATTAGCATGTCAGTAATTTGTTACTTTACAAATTGAGATAGGTCAGTTAGAGGACAGTGTAGGTATGTAAGTGGATCTAAACTATTTGGTCATAAACGAATTAATGGAAGTGGATTATATTATATTATATTATATTATATTATATTATATTATATTATATTATATTATATTATATTATATTATATTATATTATATTATATTATATTATATTATAAAGCATCTGCTAAATGACTAAATGTAAATGTAACTATTATATTGTATTATATTGGAATATTTAGGGCAGTTTAACTATGTAAATGCAGCTGAGCTATTATTGGTAATAGGTTATTGTAATAACTGAACAATTCAGTGATGAAATGTATTTATTATTAAGGATTAATATGATTGTCATATTATATTATTACATTTTTAGAAAGCAATCTATGAAAGTCAATGAATCTAATCAATTTGAACAATGTTAGTAATTATATTATATAATCCACAACACTTTGAAGAAAGAAAGAAAGAAAGAAAGAAAGAAAGAAAGAAAGAAAGAAAGAAAGAAAGAAAGAAAGAAAGAAAGAAAGAAAGAAACCTGCAACTCTTTTTGCTTTTATGGAAGCATTTTAGTATAAAGATCTGCTCACAATATTTTCAGTATTACAGGATGAAATATTAGTTCCTGTAGATTTTACATTTTACAACCATATATTTTACCCTGGATTACAAAAAAAAGTAATAGTAAGCAATTTATCTGGCAATCTTTAAAATGGTTGTGGGCCAATGACTGGAATACAGAGATTAAATCTGAGAAATGTATACTTGAGCGTACTTGGGATCTCCTAAACCCAGATGTAGCCAGTATGAATGTACGGTACATGTGGGAAAAAGGTGTGTGCACATACTCATTGATCATTGTGATAAGATATAACACTAATAATAGTGTGGAACCTGTTATCCTGCATCCTGACTCTAAAAGCATAATTTTTATACAACAGTAGAGTGCAGGTGGGAGATTTATGGCAAAATATTTTCAAATATTTCCCAAGTGATGCCTAATAGAGTAAGGCCATTTTCATCGTATTTTCTTTATTTTCTTATTTTTTTCTTTTGGAAAATAAGTATTATTTTCTTTTCATTTGGCTTGAATAAAAGCAGTTTTTACATTTTTAATATCGAGTTTTATGGTCAATTTTATTAGCCTCCACTCTTTTTTTGCTTGGCTACAGAACAAATCACTGTTATCCGATCAATTTGAACATTCATTCATTCATTTTCTTTTCGGCTTAGTCCCTTTATTACTCTGGGGTTGCCTCCATGGAATAATCCACTAACTTATTCAGCATATGTTTTATACAGCGGATGCCTCTCCATCTGCGACCCAACACTGGGAAATATCTATACACTCTTGCATTCACACACATACATTATGGCCTATTTAGTTTATTTAATTAACCTGTAGCGCATGTGGCTGAATTTGAACAATATTAATAATTATATTATATACTGCAAGAAAGAAAGAAAGAAAAAGTAAGAAAGAAATAAAAATAAAAACCTGCAGCTCTTTTTGCTTTTTTGCAAGCATTTTAGCATTGAAATTTGCTCACTATATTTTCTGTATTACAGGATATAATATTGATTCATGTAGATTTTACAACCATATATTTCACCCTGGACCACAAAACTAGTCATAAGTGTCAATTTTTGGAAATTGAGACCTGTACATCATTCGAAAGCTAAATAAATGTTTCCTGTGATGTATTGTTTGGTCGGATATAGGGCAGTATTTGATGGAGATACTCTGAAAATCAGGAATCTGTGTGTTAATTTTTTTTTCACTTTAAAATAAGTCTTTAAATTGTCCCAGTTAAGTTCTTAGCAATGCATATTGCTAAAAAGGACCTTTTATTTTAAAAATGGTTTAGATGGGGTTACAGAAAGATATTTACAAAATGTCTTCATGGAATTCAAAATGTCTTCATGGAAAATGATTTTTAGTCAAAAATCATTTGAATTTTAAGTTTGCAATCTATAATTTGTTTTTATAATAATAATAATAATAATAATAATAATAATAATTCCTGGATGACACAGTTTGGTTACCAATTTTTGCCTCACAGCAAGAAGGTCACTAGTAGATTCCTGGCTGCGTCAGTTGGCATTTCTATGTGCATTTTCTCCTCATGTTTGCATGGATTTACTCCAGGAGCTCTGGTTTCTTCCACAGTCCAAAGACATGTGCTACAGGTGAATTGAATAAACTAATTTGGCCATAGTGTATATGTGTGATTAAGTGTGTATGGATGTTTCCCAGTACTGGATTGCTTTTGGAAGGGCATTCGCTGACGATTCGGTAACACTTTACAATAAGGTTCATAAGTTATTGCATTTACGAACATGAACTAATCATGAACAATGAACATGAAGCATTATTAACATCCGAGTCCCTGCTTGTTAACATTAGTTAATGCACCATGAGTTAACATGAACTAACAATGAACTACTGTATTTTCGTTAACTAGCATGAACAAATACAGTAGTAAATGTATTGTTCATTGTTTGTTCATGTTAGTAAATGCATTAATTAACATTAACTAATGAACCTTATTGTAAAGTGTGACCGACAATTCATTCTGCTCTGGCAACCCCTGATGAATGAAGGGAATAATAATAATAAGTCCCAAACTATCCTTGTGCAAAATATGAGCTGGTATCATAATCCAGGGTCACATATTTCATAAGGTTATATACACTTAAGATACCAAATTACATATAGAAAAAATTGACCGCCCAAATAAAATAAAGCCATTGTTGTTTCAAATGAGAAAAGCATCAAACAGACATTATAAAAAGAAAACTTAAAAAAGATGCAAAAATATACAAAAAGGACAAGAAAACTAAACACTGCTTTGGAGTTGTTTGGATATGTATATACTTATTATTTTAGTTGGTAAAATCTGTGTGAGTTAAACAGTTACATGAAAAGGTGCATCCAGACTGAGGCTGTTTTGTGTGTGTGTGTCTCCTCTTAGAACAGAGGGAGAGAGAAGAACACGAGGAGGGGAGCGAGGAGAGAGAGGAGGGCCAGGACTCTCCCATCCCATCAGGAGATGACATTCATCTCTACGGCAGCCAGACACACCAAGGAGGGCCAGGTCAGCGAGTGTGTGTGTTTGCGAGCGGGTTCAGGGTGGGATGCCAGTTAGACCCGGAGCTGTTGATTAGCTCTGGAGATGCTCAGGTTAGCGGGTCACTTGTTGCTACGGCAACAGTCTCAGGTGTGCTGTGATTATGTCGTGGCTCCCTCACCAAACCCACACACGGTTGCAGGTCACCTGTTGTCACTCAAACCACACAAAGTTGCCCTGTTTCTCCTCTTTCTGTCCTCAGTCTCAGCGGGAAATGTAATCCAAGGTGACAATTGAAAAAAACTTTGACATATCAATTTTAATTTACTGTTTAGCATACGATGTATGCAGAATGCAAAATAAGCATTCATAACAGTTGAATCACAATGTATTAAAGGGATAATTCGCACAAACATAAAAATACTCATCACCTAAAAATATATATTTTGAAAAATAGTGGAAAACTCCTACACATTAAAAGATACTGTAGATTGAAAATATAATGGAAGTCAATTTAGACATAGAACAATTACTAGTTTTAAGGTTTACCATAGTTTGGAAAAGTAACGGTTTTAAAACCGCTAACAGTTTTTATTATATACCATTCCTGTGGTATACTGTATTAGGGCTGGGCGATATTACAAAAAAATTATCATGATGTCATGTTTATGCGAAATAGCCAAAGACAAGGCTTGGGGCAAAACAAAGAACTAGAAACACTTGATACAACAAACAGTGACAGCAAACAAAGACCCTGAACTGGTGTATGTGTGGTGTATACTGTAAGTTGTCCAGATGATCAGTGATGACGGAATTCAGCTGTGTGTGAGTCATTAGTAGTGAGCAGCAACCGGTGTGTGTGAAATGACATAATGGGAATTGTAGTTTGTTAGTGTGATATGTGTAGTTCACCAGCGATCTTCCTGGAGGGGACCGCTGGTGATCATCACAGCAGCAAATACTGTCCACATCAAAAGCTACTAATCAGTCCAAGATTCAGCAAATTCAGCACGATACTGCCACAGCCATATCACCCTGCAGCCCAAGACCAGTTAGTCACTGAAGCTAAGCAGGGCTGAGCCTGGTCAGTACCTAGATGAGAGACCACATGGGAAAACTAGGTTGCTGTTGGAAGTGTTGTTAGAGAGGCCAGCACGGGGCACTCAACCTGTGGTCTGTGTGAGTCCTAATGCCCCAGTAAAAGTGAAGGGGACAATACACTGTCAGTGGGCCCCGTCTTTCGGATGAGACGTTAAACCGAGGTCCTGACTCTGTGGTCATTAAAAATCCCATGACACCTACTAAAGAGTAGGGGTGTAACCCTGGTGTCTTGGCCAAAGTCAATTTGCCCCTACAATCATGGCCTCCCAATCATCCCGATCCACCGAATTGGCTCTATGTCTTTTCACTCCCCCAATAGCTGGTGTGTGGTGAGCGCACTGGCGGCGTTGTCCTGTGGCTGCCGTCGCATCATCCAAGTGGATGCTGCACACTGGTGGGGGTGTGAAGAGACCCCCACCTCATGATTGTGAAGCGCTTTTGGTGTATGGCCAAACAGAATAAATGCATTATATAAATGCACATTACATTACATTAAATTACAAATATTTGAAAAACAATCACTTATAAACCAACCAAGCAAGCTATGAAACTGAAGAGTACAGTGGTTTACATTATATCCGAAGAAAAGAAAGATATCTAGCAGATGTCTTCTCAAAATCTGTATTTTTGAAAATAATGAAGATAGCAGAAGTCAATCATTTATTTTAATGATTTAGCATGACATGTTTATTGTTCCAAAATATTTTAAATGTTCCTAATATATTGTGTTCAATGGGAAAAAGGGAAAAGATAGCTTTTTGCCCATTTAAAAAGAACATATTTTACAGCCATAATGACAATACCGTGAATTTTTTCCTCTATCATGATGTACATCCACTTAAAACAATCCTGTAATGAGAAAAGAAATGTAGGGTGGTGTTAACAAAATGAAAGAAGATTAATGAAGATAGAAGCAAGACATGGACTGATAGCCCCTCCCAAAAGACATCCCGTGTGACCTTAAGTGATGAAAAGTCGTTTTAAGGGGGGCGAGAAGGTTTGATGATATTTGATTAAAGATTCTGAGGGCAAATTAATTTTGACAAAGAATGAAGTGCATAGATACTGTGCATGGGTAATTTATAACAAGCATTATTATATACATATAAACATACGTACAATAACTTTTGATTTCATTCCTGCTTTAACAGTGAGCTATTTGTTAAACAGTGCAAAGAAGCAATTGTAATCACTTTCATAATTTTTTTTAATTGCTTTGTTTTTGACCATAAACTTTGGTGGATATTGATTTTTCTCTCTTCTTTAATTCATATGGGATGGCAGCAGTAAATGAAACAACAACTGATATCTTACCCAGAAAGTCCAAATCCATAATGAAGGACTCGCAGGCAGAGCAACAAGAAAACTTTATTTACAGTATTCAACAAAGGTCAAAATAAATGAGGAGAAATAATAATGCACCGCAGTCTCAGAGGACTGAATTAGTAAAAAAAAAAAAGTAAGCAATTTATCTGCCAATCTTTAAATGTTTGTGTGCCACTAATACAAAGATTAAATCTGAGAAATGCAAATTTACTTAACATCCTCTGGTAAAACTAGTCGTGTCTGAAAAGTATATTTGGGATCTCCTAAACTCGTATAGATGTAGCCCTTATGAATATACAGTACATGTGGGATAAAGGTGTGTTTGCATATACTTGTTGATCATTGTAATAATACAGTATATAACACATAATAGTGTGGAATTTGGACACAACAGTAACTTGCAGGTGGAAAATGTATTGGCAAATATTTTCAAATATTTCCCAAGTGATGTTAAATAGAGTAAATTTTCACAGTATTTGCTTTAATATTTTTTTCTTTCGGAAAAAAAAAAATCTTTTTGTTTGGCTTGAATAAAAGCAGTTTTAAATTTTTTTAATATAAATTTTTAAGGTCAATATTAACCCCCTTTGTTTTGATTGGCTACAGAACAAACCACTGTTATTTGCTGACTTTCCTAATTAGCCTAATTAACCTATTAAGCCTTCAAATTAGGGATGCTCATTTCGGTTAATTTTGCTAACCGACAACCGCCGCTCATTAATCAGTTATTAACGGTTAACTGGTCAAATTACTATTAATTTTATATTAAACTAATTGACGTGTCTATTTTGTGTCTGACACATTAAATATTGCATAAAATACTGATTTATTTTTATATGCTAGCATATTAATAATAGAACAATACAACAGAGCATTTTCACCCACCTGCAGTGTTTAGCACAGAAGAACAGAATAAACTAAATAAAATGAATAAAATAAATAGGACTGCCCTAAATTATTTTCCACTTAATTAATTAATTTATATTACAAATCTAAAAGACTGACTGATTATTTTAATAACCGGCATAGGCTGTTTTTTTACAATCATATTTTTGTCTTCCGTCAAATAAAATAGCAGACTTCTTCAAATCGCTCGCTCCATGGAAAATATGCATTTATTTAATGCCTCGCTTGTATTATTATAATCACAAAACCTTTTTACATTTTTAATAGAAATCATTATTTCAAAGATTATGTCTTGACGTGGTTTCCTTTCTCTCCATCGCGGCTCAAGTGCGCGCGCTGCGTGATGAAAAGACAACAACACGCGCGCATATGTTGACTTTTTGTAAACAGTTTTGTTGTTTAAATATGAAATTGCCTACATGCTTTATAAGCTGTAAAATAAAAGGTAAAGCCTATTTGTTGCGTTTATGATGCAGATCCAGGTCAACATCAACGTTTTTTTGGCATCAACAGGTCTGTTTCAAGCAATATTCTTCTTCCATTTTGCTTCTTTGGCAAATGTGTCTGTAGGCACGGGTTATACGTTATCGTCCCGCAAGTTAAGTATGTCTTGCAGTTGAACAAGTGGCCGACCACCGCTAACGTGCTTTTTTCATTCCAAAAACGCGAGGCGCACCTGCCTTTATATGTTGACAAGGAAAAAAGACGAGAAGAAGCGCGGTCCTCTTATGAAACGACTGAATCAGCTGGGTATCGATTGTGCAAAAGTGTTGCTGTATATGTTGATAAAATTGTAATATTTAATAATATTATGATATTCAAGATTTGTACATTCATACAGCTCTGGATAACTTAAAACAGCGATTAGACCTTCAGAGCGGCAATAATGCGTCCTGAAGTAAAGCGAAACGGCTATAAACTCCAGCATGATAGAGTGATTATATACAGAGTCATACTTTATCTTTAAATAAAGTATAACTATAGAAACTGTGTTCATCTTAACTGAAAGCTTCTGCGTGTTTGCTGACCTCACGCATCGCGCACCTGTCAGTCAGTCAGTCAGTCAGTCAGCACGTAACCCCAAAGGATTAAACAGAGAGCGCACAGCACTATATGGTTACAAAAAAAGTTTGCGCTGTTATAATCCACTTACCTTTTAATACGTTTTGATGCGATTATAATCTGCTATTAAAAACAACAACAACAATAACTGAATGTTTTGAATGGGTATGTAGCCGTGGCGGGATGCATTTTGTTTCCCGCCATGGAAGAATGAATGTAGCGGAAACCATGCTCTTTAAAAGTTCTCTGTAGTTGTCTTGACAACACAAACTGCTGCTCTGGGATGAGCCGCGTGCAAAAGATGCCCCTCTTAACGCAAAGGCGCATTCAATCGGCCCCTTATGCAGCCAAACTAAAAATATATAAAATAATACTTTTAATAGTTTAACTGATAGCATTAATCAGTCACAAACGCACCCTTTCGGTTAACGGTTAATCGATTATTTTGAGCATCCCTACTTCAAATTGCACTTTTACCTGAATTATTATGATTTGCAAATTAACTAGTAAAATATGATGTACTGTCATCATGGCAAAGACAAAAAAATGGTTGTTGAACTATTATTCTCTACTATTACAACTATTAATGTGTTAATAAGGTGTGTATAAAATAATATTAGTATAATACAGTA